CCAGGGGTTGTTGACTATTGTATACCGGTCCTAGGGAAAGTCTTGGACTATTATCCAAACTTACTTCCAATTCACTTATTTCACTCACTCCTTGAGATCTTTCTGGGGTCAAATTTCCTTGGGGTATATACTTCTTAATCGAACCGGTTTGAGGGTTCTTAGACCCACTCCCTTTTGTGTTTTTACCTTTCATGTCTTCAACTCCTCCAAACCTTCAGACCCTCCCAGGGAATCCCCAATTTCCTTCTCTCAATTTAGAATATACAATGTCCTAGTGCAAGCACAATGAAAGCATTGCTTAAATCTGGTATACAGAAAAAGGACGTAAGTCCAGGATATAGAGAGTATATAGGGAGTATATAACAACCCCTGCAATATTCACGTTATTATCACTCACCCTCCACGCTGGAGTACCTTTCAGAATACAGTCCTCTCCTATAGTTGTCTTTCCTTGGGGGATTCCTTTGGGTCTCTTTAAGTCTTTTTACTTTCTTTCCTTTTTCTTCTGGGTTGGAGGAGGTATGGAAGTTTGAGGGATGGATGTGTTGTGGAAGAGTGTGGCACCGTTCCACCTTACATCTCTTTATGTTGCTCTCTCGTCTCCCTTGAACTGCTGGACGCCGAAAAGCCGGCTGTTTCTTCTGCTCCCAGAGCTCCTCCGCGGCTGCCCACGTGTGAGAGGCGCTATATTCGTCTCCCGGGCAACCCCAGTCCTGCTCCGGAGCTACCGCGAGAGACGCCCGTCTCCCCTCTGGACTTGCCGCCACGACACGCCGTCTCAAGAGTCCACTCTTCTGCCGGGTAAGCCTCCAGTGCTCTCCACTGCTACTCCAGTGCAGCTAGTTATGTGACCGGGACCTCACTGGGGAGATGAACGGGGAAGGGAGCGAGGAGTGCTTACTCCACGCTCTCCCGAGCCGCCATGTTCGGGCTCCACCCCCCTTCTCTGAGCCCAATCCTGATCCAGTGCTGTGCGTAAGAGCAGCGGCTCTCCCACCTCATTGGCTGAGACAGCAGAGGGAGCCATTGGCTCCTGCTGCTGTCAATCACAGCTAGTGAGGAGGGGTTGGGGGGCACTTTGTTTCTTATAGACACACAGAGCTTGCTCGGGAGCGAGTACACGAGTGCCATCAGAGCAAGCAGCTTGCTCTGGGGGAACTCAGCAGGGCGTGGAGTCAAGAACACCTGTGGGGGACCCAGAAGAGGAAGATTGGGGCTGTTCTGTATAAAACCATTACACAGAGCAGGTGAGTATAACATGTTTCTTGTTTTATTTTTTTTTTAAATCAGCACCTTTAGTATCACTTTAATATTTCACTCATTTCCTAGGCATTCTGCCTAAATAATATTTGTCATTCTGTATAATGCCTATGGAAAGTATATAGCATAATAAAACAAGAGGCATACTTTGCCTAAAAAATGTCTCACATTCTATAGCCTAGGCATTCCATACAATGCCTGCTCTTCACACATTGCCAGTAACATATACATCAGGGTAGATTCATGTGTGCTGGATTTTTTTCTCAATTATTCTAAATATAACAAAATTGTACCTTAAAAATCCATTTGGTGTATATATATATATATTTTTTTTTTTTTAACACACACATACATACATACATACACACACATATATATATATATAGTGGCAGTGCAGTATCCGGCCACGGTGCGCTGATTGCACAGGTGTGTGCAGGCCTTTTTGGGGAGGCCAGGCCATGGTTCTGGGCTCCACCCCGGCAGACAGGAGTCAGGAGGGCTCCAACCTGGCAGACAGGAGGTCTCTGCCTTGGAGTCAGGAGGGCTTCACCAAGGAGAGGTGGAAGCCAGACTAGCTGTGTGCTACTGGATAGCTGTGTGTGGAAAAGCCTTTTTGGAAAGAGTCTGTAGGAGACAGACGTAAGCCTGAAGAGGAAGATTGTTATTATCTGAGAGAGCTAGGAGGCTGAATTTTGTTTGTTTCATGTGTGTGATGGTGAATACCCCTGTGTGGGAAGCTTTATGGAACGTTTTCTTTACATAAAAGTGGGCTAAAACAGCCCTTAACAAAAGAAGCGAGTTGCTGTGTGCTTTAAAAAACTCTACCAAAGAAGCGAGTTCCCATAATACACACACACACACACACAATGAAATAATTAGGATGTGGTACGCTTTTCCCTTCTTGAGCCCCTTTCCTCTTATACACTGATCTGCCATCTTCATGGTAAACAGTCTGTTTGCATCCATCTTTACAGTAAACAGCTGATTTCCTTTTGTCACCACTGGTAGTACAGTTTGAAGACAAGGAGCCTGCTCTGCATTACACTGGCCATTTACTAGTAATTTCTCAAACTAGCACTCTTATAAAAATTCTTATCAGTATATTTAAGAACTTGACAAATGTCACCCAAAAGTACTCCAAAAGCTGTGTACTTTTAATATTTGAGTTTGCAGTGAATTAACTTTTCTGAATGAAAACCACATTTACTGTCAGAAATTAGTTAAAAAATGTGCATCCTCCACCTTCTGATTTTCTTGTCACGGTTGTTTAAAACAAAATTGATTTGACCCTACCAACAATTAGAAAACTGTTCTTAAAACAAAAATTTTGGAAGAAAATTTTACAAGTGTATAACTGCTGTAGGCTGAATGAACAGTCTGTCTCGTCTCCTGCACTGCAAAATATACCCCGAGCCAGGAGTCTGCACACAGGTCAGCAGAGTTAGTCCCGGTTCACACTGACGCAAATTTGAGGCGGATTAGAGGCAATCCAAAAAAGGCATAGATTTGCATGTCATATGAAAAGACATTGTTTTCTATGAAGGCCGTACACATCTATGTAGTGCAATTCTGATCTGGTTATTGAAAAAAAAAAAAAAGAGAAGGGTCCTGTGCTAGTTAACCTAGCCTAAAAGAGTATGTAAATCTAACATTTCATATTTCTGATATGTGCCTGCTGTACTTGTATGAAAAAGTATCCTGTTCTCTTTGTATTGCTTCCTTTGTGTGAAATCCTTGGTGTTCCTTTCAGTCCCTCTGCTTTCCTATTAAAAGCTGACCACACTAGGCATGAGAGCACAGCAAAGTCAGTTCTCTAGCGGTGCTGGGAACTCAGTATGTTCATTTCCAACGATCAGACTTGGCCTGACATGCCCCAACAGCCATTCACTGGCTAGATCTGCTGTTTCTCCTCCTCCAGCTCTCTGTTCTCAGCTGCATAAGGAGCTTACAAAAACAGGGGAAAAAATGTATTAATGTTTTTTATTATGTATACACAAATGTTTGCCTTTCATGTCTATTTTAAACTGAATGGGTTGTTTTACAAGGTGACGGTTTCCATATACCTTAACCAATTATATTGGAATTCACTGCTAGGACAAATAGCAAAAGTATTCGTTTTAGTGAAAGCAGTAGTATAATTTGAAATCTCAAACACATTATCAGACTCACTTATACCCCAAGGCTGGATTCATGCTTTTGCATTTTAAAGCAAATGTATTCCCATTAAACTCGGTGGAAAGCAGTCAATAAATCAAACTTACAGTTTTAGAGAAGAGGTTTAATAGGATGCAATAGAGATTTATGTGATAAACAAGGGTCATAACTCCTTCCATAAAATGCTCATTTATTCAATATGAAACTGTTCAGGTTCAAATGTGACTAGAAGGCTCAAATATTGCCCCCAACAAAGACTGAACGGGGTGGAATTAATAGGGATTCACTAGTAGAACTCAATGATGGACCTCACAGATTTTGTCGAAAACCCTTCACTATGAACTATTCCCTCTCATAAATGAGCTTTGTGACTTAAACTATTACCAGTACTGATGTCTTGTCAAATCAACAGATGAGAAAGCCTGTAAGTAAAACATCAGATTTTATTTTTTTCCTACAATATCCAAAAAAGCAGAGTTTGTAGTGAACTGGGCACATTTTCTATTACCTGCATGGTTTAGAAAGCCTGAAAGGAAACCTGTGTAATGAAAGAAAAATGTTGCAAACCGTTGCTAACCACTCTTCTTCAAAATGCTATTTGCCTGACTTTAATATCACCGATTTACAGGTCAAGAACAAGTAAATCAAAAATATCAGGAAGTTAGCATTTTTTTTTCAATGTAATCTAGGAAGTTAACATTTTAACGAGGTATGCAATGGTAGACTGTTTCCCTCAGTACAGTTCTCTTTAGGTATTTGATGCTCCTACTCTACAGTGTATTCACTCAATCAGTCCTTTGTACTTCTCATGTAAATCAGCCACATCATCTTGAGACACACGCTGCCAACCATCCTCCCGAACATGGTACAGATTCACTACTCCTCCAGAGTAAGCATCACGGTATGTGGCTTGGTAAATTGAGCGCCGTGCCAACTCTTGAGCTTCCTCGGTTTCCAGATTATAGTCATATCCTCTATCCAGGACACCATAGGCATACATAGAACCTGAGCCCACTGAGAACACAGAGCCAGACACACGGTTCCCTTCACTGTCCACATAGTACAGACCTGAGCAGAGAAAAGCATATTCAATATTGAAATTTATAGAAACAACTTATCACCTAAAGCATCCTACAAATGTTTGCTTTCAGCAATAAAACGGTATTTACAACTACTACAAAGATTTATATAAAACCATAAAGGAAAATAAAGCAAATTTCATAAACTGTTAAAATAGGAAAAAAAAAAAAAAAAACATTCAGTACATATCTGCAATACATGAGCATTCCCCCATGTTTTATGCCTTTAAACAGTATCATTGAACAGAAAATAACAGATGATGTGCCAGAAACATAGTTTGCTCCTATCTTCCTTTTTGGTGTGGTAAACTTCCTCTCTGACATGACAACACATATCTGACTTCCTAATCAAATGGTGTCAGCCCTGCCTACATCAATTCTGATGGATTAAATGGAACAAAGACCTTAACCATAACCTGTACACACTGTAATTGTGTATATGATTTTAACATGTGAACTTATCCTTTACACAAGATATATCCGTCATCGATATATCTGCCTTAGATGATGGCTTGACACCAAAACGTGGCTTTTGGGTTACTTCATCCCACACAACCTATCAACTTGCGGCTGAAAGTATACTCCTTTTTGTCGAGTTGGCAATAATCTATTGTGTATTTTATGCTCAATAAATTGTGAAAGTTTTTATACCATCAGCGCTTCTCTTTCTGCTACATTTTATGTGAGAGAGGAGAATGGGACCAGACTATTGATGGAGGAGGCTTAACCCTTGCCGAGCTGAAGAGAATGCTGGTCATGCTGGAGAGGAGAGTGCTTGCTGTAATGAGAGATTATTGGATAAACTGCTTATAGTAACAGCTTTGCTGGACACAGTTATTATTTTTATTTTATTATTTGCAGCGAGTACTTGGCGTGCTCAGGGAGAGGTCACGTGGTATGGGGTGACCACGGTAAAAACTGACCTTTTAAACTTATTTTATAGAACAGTTCATATAGTAGAATACTGTGTCTTTGAGATGCACTCATCATCACAGGATGTATTGGATGAATGTTGGACACTTTATTCATGAGCTTTAATTGCACAGGATTAATTGTAATCTTTATATGAATTTTATTGGACAGCATGAATTAGAATTTTTGTATGAATCTGCATGTTTATGTATTTTACAGTGGAGGTTGGCAACACTTAACAGATAGGGATGGTCTCAAGCTTTTCTTTATCCAATTTTACACATTTTTAATAATTTTATTTATTACTTTCTTGATACTTCAAGCTTTTTGATGTTCAAGTCTTTAATTTAAACAAGCTCTTGCTGACCTTGGTAGCAACAGCCACTGTAAAACCATGTATTCTAAACATTTGCAGGAATTTCTAAGCTTTAGGCCCCATGCACACTGCCAACTGGGGCTGTGTGATCTAAAATGTGGGTATTCAGCAACAGCTGCTCATAGATATGAATTACATAATGTAGCTGTACACAAGTATACACCAGTACTTGAGTAAACATATGGTCATTTGACCATGGAAGCCGACAGTCTGCATCCAGAGTTGTGCATTAATACGTGTGTGTGTGTGTGTGTGGTGTGTGTGCCCACATCCTGTACTAAATCTCTTTAGGCAGCTATAAGCAGCAACTGTGGCCCCCGGGCAGGTAAATACTTCTGAAATATTGTATGACCCCAGACGACCGTGTGCATGAGGCCCTACTTTTTCTTGGTAGTTCAGCTCCCCCTCCCAGCAGTGAGCTGACAAGCCTGCCAGCTTTCTAATTTCAAATGCAAACACTGAGCAGATGCACAGGAAGAGTGAGAAAAAAACAAAATAAAATAGAAAAGTGCTGCGATCTCAGTTGAAACACCTTCCCCACTACTGTGAATTTGAGAATGAATTTCTCCACATTGGCTGAAACTACATAGGGTCAGCAAGGGCTTATTACAAAGCTAATTTATGGTTTGTGAAAAATATCAAAACAAAAAAAAATATATATTGCTCCTTATCACTCCATATATATGGGGAGAGCACTAGTTGTCATGAGCGGGAAAAGACTGCAGCCCTTATCACTGAAAGACTTCTGACATCCTACAAGAACCTATTAGAGGGTCTCAGATCCATATACAAGTGGACACACTAGCAACAAAGAAGCCAGTGGCTGGAAGTTCAACAGAAAGCGTGGATGCAAACAACCAAAACACCCTTGGAAGCTGAAGTTTCTACCATCAGTGTAGCTCTGCAGAAAAGACTGGATACACAGCCAGCAGGAATGGCAATTATTGTTCTTTTACAGGCTGCTTTTTGTTTACTGTTCTTATTTTTAAACTGCTGCCTGTATGGCATTATTTCAAACAGAAGGACAAAAATGGGGCCCACTAGTAGGTAAAATAAAAACAATTTAAGAATCCATGAGTCACTGATGCAAAGACTAATACATGCTTTCTAGCCCCTAATGCAGTTACATAGTTTGGCTGAAAAAAAGACACAAGTCCATCTATTCAATCATAAAAAGTGAAGAAAAAAAAAAAATATATAATCCTAGAGAACATTTTTTACCTTAATTAATTCCTGCATTAAGGTAAAACATGTTCCAGCAGCAGTATCACCTCCTCACCCCCCTTATACTTAATTGAGGTCTCACTCCACCAAGCGCTGTGCTAATCTGTGATGGCTGTCTTCTCTCTCCCAGCTCTCACAGGATTTGCTGAGGCAGCGGGAGATATTGCCTCCTGCTGCTGTCAATCAAATCCTGTGACGAGGGGAGCAGGCAGCAGGTCCAAACCACGCTGTGTGTGTATGGATGCAGGCAGTGCAGCTTGGGATTGAGCCCACATGTGCTTACCCATAGAAAGTGGCTAACTGTGGTGGCACACAGAGAAGAGGAGCCAGGAGCACGTGCGGGGTGAAGAAGACGAGAATGCTGCTCTGTGCATATCCATTGCATAGAGACAGTAAGTAGATCAAGTTTGTTATTGAAAAAAAAATTAATTAAGACTTTACAATCGCTTTAATTATGCCTGGGCCACCTCTATGGGCAAACCAAACTGTAGCCTGCCAATAAGGTGTTCCAGCAAGATGCCAGGTATCCAGATTTACATTATGCAATATACAAGGAAGAAAGAAGCTTCATATTAATGGCACAACAAAATCTGTGATGTTAATATTAAAGTCACATTTTTCAGCTTACCTGGTCCCCTCTTGTCCCATCCACAGATCATGGTTCCCATAGATAGCCCCATTCCTTTGTACTGATATACCATATTAGCTAGCAGTTTGGATGCTGCTGCAACAGATATTCGTTCCTTGTTTCGTAGCTCATAGATGCGGCACTGACGAGCAAGAAGCCTCTCCCAAAAACTACAATCAGCGGCACCTCCGGCCATTGTGCCCAACAGGTAAGGATTAATTTCAATAACTTTTTTCACTGTCTGAGAAGCGATGTATGAGCCAGCTGTAGCACGGGAGTCAACAGCCACAATAACTCCATGTTGAAACTGAAAAAGAAAAAAAAAAAGTCACCATTAGAAATATATACATGGATCCTGACAAGTCTTTAAACGGAAGTTGTTGTGCATTTTCACACTGCACATTATTGCATGTGGTAGCATACATTCAGTTAAGGCAGGCCATTCATTGTCAATAGGCCATAATGAATGAAAAAAAAAAAAAAAAAAAAGTGTATTACCCTCATAATAAAGCTTGTGGTATATGCATGGTGATCGAATGTACAATGCATTGGGTGCCATTCACAATGGCAAAGTATATCAATAAAGTGCAGCGCTATTGAATTGGTCAAAGATGTAATCGGGGTATAATCAAAATATAATAGTTTGTGAATAAATGATGAAATATGATCCAGAAGTAAGCAGAAATCAAAATGCTGGTGCTCAGAAGGAATGGTAAAATTGCACACTCACCAGATGCATATGGGACATACGCTTTACTATATCCACCACGGAACACTTAGTGTGTGGGGTATGATAGGTGTGTGAAGATCTTCCTTCAAGAGATAGGGCAGCACAGGGGTGAATCTGTAGATTTAGGTGAAGTCTGCTCGTCCAGAGGTCCCCTTTAGGATGGATGGGTCTGCAACCTGCTTACAGGGATTCCCTCTTCTGGGTACTGGATCAGTAAGGAACTTCCACTGGCTCTGTAATTTAATGGTTCCATAAAAGAGCCATAAAGAAGGTGCCCGTAGTCTAGTATTCCTTTACACTTTTATTCCATGGAAACAGGTAACAGTAATATACAGTACTGCAGAGTGAACTGACCATACATAAAGATGGCCGCAGGACCTGCACGTGGCTCCGGCGGCGTGACATCACAGCATGTTGGTTCCTCCTTAGGCCAACACGGTGTTGGTCTCCCCTCTGAGGACATGCGTGGCACAAAATGCCTAAGGAGGAACCAACACGCTGTGACGTCACACCGCCGGAGCCATGTGCAGGTCCGGCGGCCATCTTTATGTACGGTCAGTTCACTCTGCAGTACTGTATATTACTGTTACCTGTTTCCATGGAATAAAAGTTTAAAGGAATACTACACTATGAGCACCTTTTTTATGGCTTTTATGGAGCCATTAAATTACAGAGCCAGTGGAAGTTCCTTACTGATCCAGTACCCAGAGGAGGGAATCCTTGTAAGCAGGTTGCAGACCCATCCATCCTAAAGGGGACCTCTGGACGAGCAGACTTCACCTAAATCTACAGATTCACCGCTGTACTGCCCTATCTCTTGAAGGAAGATCATCACACACCTATCATACCCCACACCCTAAGTGTTCCGTGGTGGATATATTAATGCGTATGTCCCATGCGCATCTGGTGAGTGCGCAATTTTACTATTCCTTCTGAGCACCAGCATTTTGATTTCTGCTTACTCCTGGATCATATTTCATCATTTATTCATTAACTATAATATTTTGATTATACCCCGATTACATCTTTGACCGATTCAATAGCGCTGTACTTTATTGATATACTTTGTTCTCTGGAGGTTTCATATGTTACCTTAGTGTGCTTTAGCTGCTGTACTAGAGAGCACTCACTTGGTTTTATTTTTACATTCACAATGGCAACTTACATAGAGCAGGCTTGTTTAAGTCACCATGCTCAAGTGTGAATAGGCCCTGAGAATTATGACAGCAAAGAGAATGTTTAGGATTTTTGTACATTTCTACTCTCTTTATCGTGTTTCTCATGACAAATAATAATAGTCCATGCTGGCTTACTGAATTGCAGATGAATGCTGTAAACAAAATCGCAATTCAGGGCAAGCAGTGTCTATATATTTTTTTTTTTTTTAAAGGCGTAAGCAGCTAGGTTGCGGGCTATAGAGTAAAAGAAAAGAACCCAGAAGGGTGGGTTAGCACATGTTTAATAAAAGTACACTTCTCCTTGCTGTAATCTATGCCATTACACCGATAGCACTACCACACTGATGGCTGTCATTTTCCAGGTCCAGCTGGAATTCTGTCATCAGCTTCCTTTCCACACACTGTCCTCAGGCCCCTTCCACATGGGTGGAGTCTGCCAGCGGATCTGCCTGCTCAGTGGGGGATCTGTCCGCTGATCCCCACTGAGCAGGCGGATGACAGGTCCATGTGTCTGTTCCACTTATGCGGAGCAGACACGAACACAGCCCCTTTTCTCTATGGGCGGTCGGATGTAAATGGACCATCCGTCTAGCGGATCAAATGACAGATGTAAACGGACATCCTGTCTGTTTACATCTGACTGTCATCTGATCTGCTAGATGGATGGTGAACAGATCCCCACCCATCTGTTTTTTTAGAGGATCAGATTTAGGCAGCTGTAAATGGACATGTCACTTTACATCCGCTGCACCATAGCGGGCAATGGTTGATCCGATTGGGTCCACCTGAAAAACTGACAGGCTGACCCGGTCGGTTCGCAAGTGTGAAAGGGGCCTTAAAGTTGAACTCCAGGAATTATCTGTATTGTATATTTACATCGGTCCAGCTTAGCACAATGGAAGTATGCAAATCTCATATTTGAGGACTGCTAGGGAAGCCAACAATCAATGTATTAGTCGGTGCTTCTATAGTAATAACCATGATCTTGCAGATCCTGTGTGAGCAGTTTCCCTTCCACACACTGACCACAGGGGGTCGGTCGCTCAGCTCTGTCACCATTCATAGAATGCCTTGTATTTTTTTTTTCATTGAATATAAAGCGTTCTCTAATTCAGTGTTTTTCAACCTTTTTTGTGCAAAGGCACACTTTTTTCATGAAAAAAATCACGAGGCACACCACCATTAGAAAATGTTAAAAAAATTTATTGAAAAACTTTTTGACTTGAGGGCCGCAATGGGTTCATATATTGGACCCGGGGGCCGGACCAAGAGTAGATGAATGATGTGTATGTGTCATCCATAGTAAGTATAGTAATATTCCCCCATAGTAAGCATAGTAATTAATCCCCCATATAGTAATTTATCCCCCATATAGTAATTCATCCCCCATAGTAATTCATCCCCCATAGTAATTAATCCCCCATATAGTAATTCATCCCCCATAGTAATTCATCCCCCATATAGTAATTCATCCCCCATAGTAATTCATCCCCCCTATAGTAATTAATCCCCCATAGTAATTCATCCCCCATATAGTAATTCATCCCCCATAGTAATTCACCCCCCATAGTAATTCATCCCCCCTATAGTAATTCATCCCCCCTATAGTAATTCATCCCCCATAGTAATTCATCCCCCCTATAGTAATTAATCCCCCATATAGTAATTCATCCCCCATAGTAATTCATCCCCCATATAGTAATTCATCCCCCATAGTAATTCATCCCCCCTATAGTAATTCATCCCCCATATAGTAATTCATCCCCCATAGTAATTCATCCCCCATATTAAGTCCCCAAGCCCCCCCGTGTCAATTCACTTACCTTTGCTCCGCGCGTTCCTCTCGCCGTTCCGGTGTAGCATGAAAATCTGTCTCCTATGAGGATCTGTCCCCCTCGACGTATCTGCGCATGTGCCAGTTTCAGGCATTAGCAGCCGATCGGCGATCTCCGGCACATGCGCAGATACGTCGAGGGGGACAGATCATCCTGACAGTATCACGCTCCGCGGGCCGGATTAAAAGGTCCGCCGGGCCGTATACGGCCCGCGGGCCGTAGTTTGCCCATTGCTGTTCTAATGATTGGTCTATTTGTGAGCCGAGGCCACATGTTACGGATGAAATTGCAATTTTTCCCACGGCACACCAGACAATATCTCACGGCACACTAGTGTGCCGCGGCACAGTGGTTGAAAAACGCTGCTCTAATTGTATGAGGTAAGGAGAAGGAGCAGTGAGCTCTCTATCTCCACCTCATTCAATCAAAGAATGCCTTGTACCCACTAAGAAAAAAAAAAAAAAAGGAAGGACATTCTATGAATGGTGACAATGTCAAGAGAGCAACCCCCTGTGGTCAGTGTGCAGATGGGAAGCTGTTCACACGGGATCTGCAAGATCATGGTTATTACTATAACAATGCCGACTACTATACTGATTGTTTGCTTCCCCAGTGGTCCCTCAATTATGAGATAAGCCTACTTACATTGTGCCAAGCTGGACCAATGTAAGTATGCAATACAGATCGTTCCAAGCTCAACTTTAATGTGTTACTAAACCCACAACAGTAAAATCAATCTGTATATGCAGTAAAGCATGCTTGTTATACTCACTGTGGCACCTAAGGGGGTAATCCTCAGCATTGTGTAAAAGGCTGTTTGATCCTTTCTTCCCTGCCCCTCCTCTTGTTGAAATGACCACCCGATACAGACTGAATCTGTAGGCACATGCTCAGTTTGGTGTGTATTGCTAGATTTTTTTTTTTTTTTTCTTGGGAGGGTGCATGTGATCAGCACAGGGCCGATCAGCACTGTCCAGACAGAAGGTCAGGTGGTTTCACATCCTCCTAGAGCAGAAAGAAAACTCCTCCTACAAGCTTTAACCAGTGCTCTGCTGAAGTCACAAGACTGCTCTAACTGCTGATGAGAAAAGGTATTGAGCAGTTTATATTTACTAAAATAATTGCATTTCCATGTTGTGTGTACTGTGGGAGACCAGATATAGTGAATGCAGGGTCCTGGGTTTAGTATCCTTTTAAGGAAAAGTGGAACCAAAACTCCATGTTTCCTTTGCCCAGAAAAAAAATAAAAATTATATATATATATATATATATATATATATATATATATATATATATACACACACACACACACATATATATATATATACACACACACATATATACATATACACACACATATACACACACACTGTAGCTGGATCATTTCAAACGACAACTTTCCCATCACTCCAGGTTTGGTACAAACACATCAGAGTATACATTTTACAACCATACTACGCTTTGGTTATTATCTGTGAAGCTAAACGTAGCCAAGTATAGTGTACTGGATTTCAATCTATCATGTTACCTTTGTATTGTAGTGTGGGGAGGGGGGCCTCTTGTCACAATGTACATCAGCATAATTGTAAATTATGACAGTCATATCCTAATCTGCTCTCCTACAGTGCTATCAAATCCACACTCACATGTAACATCAATGGCCTTAGGGCATCATATGTACCGATCAGCGACTGCTGCCCCTCTCTGCCAATCCCTTCACTGGCTTCCACTAACCCAACGTATAAAATTCAAAACACTAACCACAGCTTACAAAGCCATCCACAACACTGCCCCTAGCTACATCACCAACCTCATCCACAGAAATCGGCCAAATCGCCCACTCTGCTCCTCCCATGATATCCTCCTCTCTAGCTCCCTCATCACCTCCTCCCACGCTCGCCTCCAGGACTTCTCCAGAGCCTCTCCCATCCTCTGGAACTCCCTACCACAGCATGTCCGGTCAGCCCCCACCATGTCTGCCTTTAGGTGATCTTTGAAAACGCACTTCTTCAGGGAAGCCTACCCCACCTCCACCTAAGAACTCTACTTGAATCACCTCCGCCAGATCATCCCTCGCAGCTATCACCTTTTGTATCACCTCTCCCTTCCTTTAGATTGTAAGCTCCACGAGCAGGGCCCTCCTATTCCTTCTGTACTGAAATGTATTGTAATTGTATTGTCTCCCTTATATTGTGAAGCGCTGAGCAAACTGTTGGCGCTATATAAATCCTGTATAATATATAATAATAGGTATATCTAAGGATGGCTGTACACTTCAATATTATTTATTTCTGATTGATGTGTGATTCTATCCAATCGTATCTGTAAACTATCGAATAGCTGAAATTTCCCTTCCAGTTGATTTTAGACTCACTTTGGATCATATTTGGTCAAACCAAGTTGATCAGCCAGGGTGGAAAATGATCAATCGTTCTGCATCAACTTGCAGCATAAAAAGGTGTTGTTCACAATATGATCAATCACTATGGGGAGGAATTTACTAACATCAAAGCAGATGGAATCTAGAGCACCTCTGCAAGGCAACCAATCAACTCAAATCTTTCATTTTCAAAGCTTAACTGTACAAACCTGAAGCTAGCAGCTGATTGGTTGCCATGCAGAGCTGCTCCAGCCTTAGTAAACCCCCTCCATTGTGCATAATAGGTTAGAAGCTATTTATCAAAGAGAATGGTTACATATTAGTCATCAAATCAATGAAACAAAATGCACTCATTTCTACAAACTAATGTTGGTAATAAAAGGAAGTCTCCATCCTGGTGATCAGCACCTTGAAGGCCAGCGTGGTGGTCCCATGTAAGAACTCGATCCCAGGATCGGCCGTGCCCTGCCCCGCTCCAGGCACTACATGGAAGCTCAGGCCCTCGGTGTCCAGGCCGCAATGTGCCGGGTTATCCCGCTGCTGCATCCACGACAGACCCTCCGATCTCACAACACTAGCCAGCGCCATGTTCTCTCCCAGCAAAGCACCGGCTTGACTGCGACTATAGGCCAGCCCGTCTCTTGCCTGTTACATCACTATGACAAAGCACTAATGCGGCCATGTTGGAAAAGGGCATGACAAAGCTGGGCAAAGCCATTTAGCGCCATGTTTATGAAGGGAAGATTTATAACTAGGGATGCGCTAGTGAGGCTGGAAGACTGGCAGCCCGGCTTTCCATCTGCATGCTACCAAACCAGTTGTAGTGTAGCTGCTAAAAAAAGGTCTCTTTAAGTCTTTTCTATAAAGTAGGGTGAAATCTACATCTACTCATTGGTGTCATGACAGCCTAGCAGCTCCTCTCAAGCTGAGTTTCCCCAGTTGCCAGGAGTTCCTTGACCACTTCAATACCGGGCACTTTCACCCCCTTCCTGCCCAGGGCAATGTTCAGGTTTCAGCGCTCTCACACTTTGAATGACAATTGCACGGTCATGCAACACTGTACCCAAACTAACATTTTATCATTTTCTTCACACAACTAGAGCTTTCTTTTGGTGGTATTTAATCACCGCTGGGGTTTTTGTTTTTTGATAATTAACAAAAAAAGATCGAAAATGTTGAAAAAAAAAAAGTTTCTTTGTTATAAAAGTTTGCAAATAAATAATTGTTCTTCATAAATTTAGGCCGAGATGTATTCTGCTACATTTCTTTGGTGAAAATAACCCAAATTAGGATGTATTATTTAGTCTGTAGGAAAGTTATAGAGTTCACAAACTATGGTATAGATCTGAAAATTGATCAGTCCTGAAGTACTGACGGACAATCTAATTTCTTGAGGCCCAAAAATGTCAGAAAAGTACAGATATCCCCAAAATGACCCCTTTTTGCAAAGTAGACAGTCTTTTTTTGAAGTTGTAATTTTTTGCCATTTTTTGGAAAATGAAGAAATTAAAAAAATTATTTTCACATTTTTTTGTGCATACTGTCACCAGTGCAGTACAGTGTCATTATATAACTGTTGTGGCGGTGATCAGGGACACTGACTGGCAACAGTACGAAAAAAATATAATTTTGTTTCAATTTTTATTTTATTTTTTATTACATTTTTTTTCTCTTTTTTTAAGATTTTGTTTTCATATTACACTATGACCAAAGTAGCATAATGTTACCATAGTAACATTGTACTACTTTTGGGAAGTAATCAGTATTTTTATTTTTTACACAATTTGATTGCTTATAGCAAAGAATTACTTTGCTATAAGCAAGCATTTAACTGATTGAAATCGATTAATTCAGGTTTTTTTTGTTGTGATTAGCTGTGATTGGCCACAGCTAATCACATGACACAGATGGGCTGTGATTGGCCTAGCCTGTGCATGTGATCACTGTGACCATTTACAGTTAGACACACTTGTATACAATGGATGGCGTGAAAGGAAGCCATCCATTGTATACAACTGTCATGTGACCTGCTGTGATTGGTCACAGCAGGTCACATGGTACTGGCAACGGGACCGGTACACAGATCTGCCTTCAGCCATGTCCGAGGTACACAGCCGGTGACAGATCTTGCCACAGCATGGCCCTGCGGGCATGGAAATCATATGATGCCCTCCCAGATCAACGAGAGGCCCGCCCGGCCGTCATTTTGCCATAGGCCAGGAGAGGGAAGTGGTTAAATCGGAGTGCCCATCTCTGGTGAAAAAAATTAAGTCAGAAGCTACAAAAACTGTAGCTGTTGACTTTTAAACAAAGAGACGCCTGTCCCTCAATCCCATGGTGTCCTCACCGCTGCCGGGCTTACCAGGCACCCTGTGTTCCCGGCACCGGCATCTTAAGTATGGGCACTCGGCTGTGAAGGCGCAAGCCCACTGCACATGTGCAAGCGGCGCTGCACTTTGTGAATGGTCCTGCAGTCCTCTGGGATGTGTCCCAGAAGACTGCAGGGGGTAGGATTGCCATCTCATCCCTTTAAAACCAATCACATATTATTTACACAGGTTCTGTGGCTGATTAACCACTTGCCCTCCTGAGGATTTACTCCTCTTCCTGACCAGGCCATTTTTTGCGTTAAGGCGTTGCGTTACTTTAACTGAAAATTGCGCGGTCATGCAGCGTTGCACCTAAATTAAATTTACGTCCTTTTTTCCCCACAAATTAACCTTTCTTTCGGTGGTATTTTATCGCTTGTGCATTTTTAATTTTTTGCACTATAAAAAAAAATTCCAATAATTTTGAGAAAAAAACTATTTTTGACTTTTCGCTATTAAACATATCCAGTAAAAAAATTTTAAAAATCAAATTTCTTCATAAATTTAGGCCAAAATGTATTCTTCTACATGTCTTTGCTAAAAAAAAATCCCAATACATGTAAATTAATTGGTTTACGTGCAAGTTATAGCATTTACAAATGGCGGAATATATACTGGGATTGTTTTTTTTAAAATTTTTACCAGTAATGGCAGCAATCAGCAAATTTTAGCTGGACTGCGGCGGACATTCTGACACGGGGGAGAACTGACTTACTGCGGATGTCAGTGACACCAATACGGTGATCAGTGCTAATAAAAAGCACTGACACTGTACTAATGGCACTGGGCAGGAAGGGGTTAACATTGGAAGGCAATCAAAAGGTTAACTGTATGCTGTGTGCTGTTTAAAGCCGGCCATACATGGGTCGAATTTCAAAAGAATTTTCTTTCGAAAATCTTTTCTAAGAATTTTCGTTTGAATTTTGCACCATTAGTGGGCCACAGAAACGGCCGATTTTCGTGTAACCATTGAATTTGAGTGATCGGGCATGTTGGAAATTTTTTGAAAAACAAATTAATTTCTAATCAGTGATGGGAGAATCGTGCATGATTTCGCGCACCCATGCTGCCCTGTAGCAGTATTTATTTATTTCAGGTACTTACTGTCAATTTACTATCACTTTGCTGTCAATTTACGTAGCGCTTTACATATATATTATACATTCACATCAGTCCCTAACCCTCAAGGGGCGTACAATCTAAGGTCCCTAACTCACATCATACATACACATACTGGGGCCAATTTAGACAGGATCCATTTAACCTACCAGCATGTCCTTGGAGGTGGGAGGAAACCGGAGTACATCTGCTATAGGGCGGTCGGGAAGCGGTTAAAAGAGAAGTCTGTGAAAAAAAATAACAAGCAGTCATACTCACCTGGGTGGATGCAGAATCGCTCTAATCTGTCCCTGCCTCCTCTTAGACTGATAACTGAGCAATCAAAGACCACCGATCGCTCAGTTTTTGGTCTTCAGTCTGCAGAGAGCTGGTGATTGTCAGTCACCGGATATGTGCTCTGCCCCTCCAGTGCTCAATGGAGTGCTGGGCTGTGGAGGGGCAAGAGCAGCTGGCACAGGCTCTCAATGGTTCGCTGATAAGCCAAGCCAGCTGCCTATCACGCTCTTTCTAGAGCCTGGACCGGCTGAATGATGTCAGCCAACAGCAGGCTTTAGCCAGCTGTCAGCTGGAAACAGGTCACAGGAGTACAGAACTAAGTGCACCTCTGTGATCCATATAGTTTTAGCCCTACTTCTCCTTCAGCCACATCAGACACTTTCATCCCCCTTCACGCCCAGGCCATTTTTTTACATTTCAGCGCTGTTACAGTTTGAATGACAATTACTCAGTTATGCAACACTGTGCCCAAATTAAATTTATATCTTTTTCTTTTTTATACAGATAGAGCTTTTTTTGGGTGGTATTTAATCACCACTGGGATTTTCTAATTTATTTTATTTATTATTTAGTTATTTCAGGTACTTACATAGCGCCGTCAATTTACACAGCGCTTTACATATATATTGTAAATTCACATCAGTCATATGTTAACATATATAAAGGAATAAAGACAGAACATTTTGAAAAAAAAAAGTTTTCTTAGTTTATTGGTATAAACATTTGCAAACAAATAATTGTTCTTCATAAATTTAGGCTAAAATGTATTCTGCTACATTTCTTTGGTAAAAATAACCCAAATAATATAATTTGGTGATATGATTAGAGACACCGTGACTGGTGTGGCGGTGATCAGGGACACTCTGACTGGTGAGGCAGTGATCAGGGCCAGTGTGACTGGTGTGGGGGTGATTACGGTCATTGTGACTGGTGCAGCTGTAATTAGGGCCACTGTGACTGGCAGCACACTGCTATGGTGATATTGAACTGCTGTGGTGGTGATCAGAGACAATGACTGATAGCACTGACATACAATGATATCAGAGCAGCCAGTCACTGTATATGATTACTGCTAGAGCAATACAATGTCACCATAGTGACACTACACTTGCTCTGGTGACAGGATGTTAAAAAAAAAAAAGTTGTTTTTTTTTCAATTTTTTTTACATACTGTCACCAGAGCAAGTGCAGTGTCACCATAACTACTGTTATATTGACCACCAAGTGTAAGGGGGCACTTTTCCTCTTGATATCCATTGTAAGAGGGAGTTATACTGACAAGCAATGTAAGGGGACACTATACTGACCTCCAGTATGCAAAGGAAACTTTTCTACTGACTGACAAGAAAGGGGGCACTGCACTAACCAGTGAAGTAAGTGGACACTGAGGGACGTTTGCAGTGACCACACATGTAAAGGGATACAAAATGACCACCAATTTAAACAAACCCTTCTCCATTGACCAACAATGTAAGGGGGCCCTTCTCCACTGACAACAAATATAAGGGGGCACTACACTAACCGTCAGTGTAAGGGGGTTCTCCTCCACTGAATAGCAATGCATGGGGGAATTACACTAACCACCAATGTAAGAGGGCAATACACTAACCAGTAATGTAAAGGGTCAATACACTAATCACTGTGAGGGGGCAATACACTACCCACCGCTATAAAGGGGCACTACACTAACCACCAATCTAAGGGGGTACTACACTAGCGACCAATGTAAGGGGGCACTACATTACAGAAAAACATCCTGCAGAAAAGGATATAGCACCTCAAAGGCTACTAAGGCAGTATTTATTGTAGACGTAATAAATGTAA